AAAACTGTTTTTCTAATACTACTAAGATCTTATTTTCCCTTTTTACTATGTGGGTATTTGGTCTGATGGTACAAAAGCAATGGTGGGTAAAACTGCTTGGTGCCTTAGCATCTTCACTTCTACAGACTCACAGCAGAAAACAAAAGCATTTCACTTAAGAATGTCCTAGATGAAGCAGTGAAAGATATTAATTTTATTGAATTGTGACTTTGCGTATACTTAGAAAAATATTCTTTGTGAAGAAATGGGAAGCTGTATAATAAAGTAACAATGATTGTTTTGAAAAATAACACTTCTGTGGTTATATGAGTTTTGAGCTAAACTAGATATTAAGCTAGTGTTTTCCCCTATAAAACACTCCTTTTATTTGAAAGAATGACTGACACACTATGGTTATTTAGACTGGTGTTTAATAGATATTTTCTGAAAAATGAAAGAAGTGTGTCACTTCAAGGAAAACAACTGACGGTATTTGTTGCCAATGATAAAATTTGAGCTTTGAAGTGAAAATTAGAATTTTGGAAAACCTGTATCTACAACGATGATCTTGATAACATCCCAATACTTAAAAAGACTTTTCTGATGAGATAGATGATGATAACTTTTCTTGATGTTGTATAGTGAAATGTGTCAACATTTAGATCTGCATAACTCAGTGAGTCAGTATTTTTCAAATGACAGGTTTGTAATGCTATAAAATGTATCTGTAAAAGACACATTCAAAGTAGAAGATAGAACAATGGGTTTTAATGTAATAGAGTATCAAGAATTCATTGATAGTTTCAGATTTCATATCCCAACTAACCTTTAAGAAACTACCACTTGTCAAGTTTCAGAGAAAAATATCTACAATTATTTGAAAAGGCTATTAAAATATGCCTTCCTTTTCTGACTACATATCTGTGTGAAGGTAGATTTTCTTCATTTACTGTAACCAAAACATCACATAACAACTGATTCAGTACAGAAGCAGATATGAGAATCCAGCTGTCTTCTATTAAGCCACTCTCCAGAGACTTACAAAACTGTAAAAACAATACCACTCTTCTTACTAATTTTTTTTGGGGGAAAATATAGTTATTTACATGTAACTTAGTTTATAATATAAAATATTTAACTGTATTTTAACATTAAAATTGTTAAAATGTGATGAGCTTATTGTCATTTTAGAATATATTAATACATAGTTTTAAAACCCAGTTTTAGTTTCTAATATGGTAAATACTAATAGATACAACCTACATTATAAATAAAAGCTTTTTGGAATTTCCAGTTATTTTTAAGAGTATAAAGGGTTCCTGATATCAAAATGTTTGAGAAACACTAGAATAAAGCAGTCTCCAAGATACATTGTTAGGAAAAGTGCAGATCAGTATGATTGTAAGTTAGCATTTGTGTGAAAAAGGATATGAATGGGATTCTTATTTTTTTGTATATATGTAAAATTCTTCTGGAAGGTTATAAAGGAATTAAGTGTTGGTTTGTACAATGCAGGAGGGATGAAAGGTAAATTCTTTACTCTAAACCCTTTTGAACTAATTTGAATTTTAAACCAGATGAATGAATTACTGATTTAAAAAAGAAGAAGAAGAAATTAAAACATTCCTACCAGCCGTATTACAAATTTCAGGGAATCTAAGTCTGTTAGGAGAAGTTGGAGCATGTTTGGAGTAATGGTTATTTTTCTGGCCAATTGCTTTTTCTTATTTTATTTGAGAAGAAAATGAAGCTTGCTTATTTTAGGGGTAAAAAATTTCATTTAATGTCCAATCCAAATACATTCATGGTGAAATTATGTAAATCAAATAGGTAGCAATTTCCACAGTGGGACCCAAAGTATACTGAACTTAAGTTTTAAGGAGGAACAATTCGATTAGTTTTGTTACTAACAGGTATTTCTAGGTTTCTAGTAAAGAGCATGGATTTATTTTAGAAGACTATTATAATTTGTAGTCTGCCATTTAAGAGGTTTTGAATAAGTGCTGCATGTAATGTGGAAGTAGAAAAGCTAAGTAAACGTTCTGACATTTGATTCAGTACAAAAAGTACTTTTTAATACTCATAACCTTTGCGGCTTTGGGAAGTCTTGAAAAGAATAACTAAGGAATTCAATTTTATTTATTCTGTCTGCTGTGAAGTGTGGCTTTTGATAAATGTTCATACTTTTAACTTTTAGATAGACAAAGTATCCTTTTATGAAAAAGGAAAATTATTTTAATGCAAAAGCTCTTCAGATTTTCTTTTTTCATATCATACTTCTAAAATTTATTTCTTTGAATATTGAAATATCATTTCCAGAGTTCTTCGAAGCAGTTTAGAGAAAGATATTACATGTGATTCTGTTCATTAGTTATAGTGAAAAGTTTGCCCATAATGTGGAACTGTTTTCCCCAATTTTTTTAGTTAACAAAGAATGGCTTTAATAATGTTAATAGGTTTTTCTGAAGTATTAAACAAATAGGTAGTTAATTCATAAAGGAGTTTACTCTTGCTACTTGCATGTGCATGTGTAATAGTTGACATTTTTCTAAGCACACGTTATTTTCTTTGATTCTCAGCACATCTTGGAAATAGCACAATTAGTGTTTTTCTTATTTTTTATATGTATGGAAATTGAAATTCAGAGGGCTAAATGAATTGTCATATAACCTTGTTAAATGATAAAATAGCAATTTAGATTTAAGCAAGGCTAGATTAGATTTAGATTTAAACAACTTTAGAGTTAAGCAAGACTGTCCTAAGTACAAAAAAAAAGCACTTATCTATACCTACTATGGCCGGGTTCTGTGGTCTGCACTAGAGATATAAAGATAAGACACAGATCTTGCCCTCTAGGGGCTGAAAGTTTAGTGACAGAGACTACCCAGTGGAGAAGTGAATAAGTGTGGTGGTGCCCTGTTGAAGGGCCGTATATCTCAGTTTCGAGGAAGTGAAACAGATCTTGAAGGGTGAGTAGGAGAAGTTAGCCAGGGTGAGTCTGGTTGAGGGTGCTGATAAAAGGCGTCAGGTAGAAGATACAGTGAAGGAGGCCTAAGCAGCACACGGAAATTGTTTGGGAACTGTTAGTAGTTCCATGTGGTGACTGTGCTGGGCTACACGGGAGAATGAGCAGGATGTGAAAGCAGAGAGGTAGATAGTGGCCTAAACTGGAAGTCTGAACTTTTTTCTAAAAGTTTCAGGGTGCTAAAAATTGATTATAAATAGTTGGAAGGACTGAGTTTGAACAAGGTCAGAGTCTTAATTCTTGGACTTATTAGTTGTAGGACTGTAATCAGTTGACCAAATATTTCTGAGCCCCAGTTGCCTCAGATGTTAAATGGAAATAACGTTCAACTTATTGCAGTAGGAGGACTAAGAAAAGTAAATGTTTAAAAAGAAAAAGCACCAAGTGTGCACCAAACCTGTATGTAAGAACTCAGTAATGAAAGATGAATTAAAAGTAAGGACAGCTCACTGCACATATCTAAGCTTCTAAGTAGAACTGAAAAAAATGAATTAAAATTTATTTTTAAATACTATTGGATTATTTGGACATTTCTAAAATAGCTTAGCTGAAATGGTTTTATAATTTCAATGTTTAAATTTAATACTTAGGAGTCTTTCAACGTGGTGTTTCTTTATATACTTGTTTGAAAGCCAGACTTTGTGTATATGATGTGGTTGTCAGATGATGAGGCTGTCATGAGTTAGCGCTTGTGTGGAATCAGTTCTGTTTGTGTGATGTTTTGTGTCCTCTGCCCTTTCCCCCAACTCCCTGGTGCAGGAATGAATTCATAGCTGGAAGACCTGGATCTGTCATTCTAATTTTAGGCAAATCCTTGCCCATTTGTGTGTCTCTTCAACATTAAGATGGTACTTAACTAATTTACCTTTAGGGAATAAAGTGAAATAGTACATGGATACGTTTTTGTAAAACACAGTATCTTAGTCTGCTTGGGCTGCCATAACAAAATACTACAGACTGAGTGGTTTAAACAACGGAAATTTATTTCTCACCATTCTGGAGGCTGGGAAGTCCAAGATTAAGGTGTCAGCTGATTTGGTTCCTGATGAGAGCTCTCTTCCTGGCTTGTAGACAGCCATCGTCTTGCAATGTGCTCACATGGCCTTTCCTCTGAGTGTGCTTTGGGGCAGGGGAGGGAGAGGAAGGGGAAAAGAATGAGCCCCTTGGTGTCTTTTCTCATAAGGACACTAATCCTGTAGGATAAGGGCTCTACTCTTATGACCTCATTTAGCCTTAATTACTTCCTTACTCTAAATAGAGCTGCACTGGTTAGGGTTTTAACATTTGTGTGTGGGGACACACACACTCACATTCATTCCACAACGTGCAGTTAAATTGGAAGTGTTCTCTTTTGATGGCTTTATGACTTGGTATTTGGTAACAGTGAGTTAAATGCCAGTCATGTATTATATTTATTTTAACTGCTCTCCAGAGCTGCAGATGTATATGGGCCATTTGAGTCCTGCTTTCTAGCCAACAGGTTTATAACTGGCTAGCTACAGGAGTGGTACAACCAAGTTAGTATCAACTTAGAATATTACTGTGCCTAAGGTAATTCTAACATGTCAACAGCCATTCTCATAGTATATTAAGCCTATATCACTTCCTTGAATTTCCCCCCCTACTGCAAGCCCAAATATAGTTTGATTCCCATAGTAAATGTCTATAGTATAGTGGTGATTTAAAAAATCATATCATTTATCTTAAGTGTAAATTCACCTTTTTACTTGTTAACAGAGCAAAGCCTTTTAACTGACATGGGAAGGTTACACACATTTTAAAGGCAGCTAAATCAAACCTCAGTTTTGCATAGTAGATATTGGAATAGAGATAGAAATCTTAACTAAACTTCAGGATATAAGCCTCCTCTTTTTCTTTATTGTGAATTTCAGTGTGAACTTTGATTGAGTTCTAAGTCTGTTTGCATTTTAGATTGTGCCGGAAGATCTTTATACCTGGTTTCCTGGAATGATCACATTTATGTTCTTTTTCACAGGCCAGCCCTCCAGATCTCTATATTGAAAGATTTAATATAGCTCTTGGACAGTATATGGGAGCATTGCAGAGCATTGTGCCTCTTTTCATATATATGGTAAGTTAGAGCTATTTCCCCTTTCCAAATACCTCTTGTTTATCGGTCTAAGTGCAGATAGATGCAGAAAGTTAAGCATATTCTATTTTTCTTTTACTGTGTATTATGTTAGAAATGGAAATTAATCTATTTCAGCAATGTTGATAGTGTTGGCATAGAAGACTTATTTAGCCTTTCACTGTTTTAAAATTTCATAAAATACCATTGCGGAAACAGACAGGCATTAATAATCAGCAGTCACCCAATTAACATTTTGTTTCTGCCATATGGAAGATACTGTGCTTGGAAAATAAAGATATATCAGAAAGATTTCTTACCTTCAGAAAATAGAGAGTTAAGACATGTATCTAAAAACATGGTGTATAATAAATGCCAAGGAAGTAACTCCATAAAAAGTAGAACAGTAAAGTTTGCTTTCATTCTGATAATCTCTTTCACTTGGAGAATTATGCCATGAGTACATCTTGTAGTCTGTTGACTTTGTTGAAGTGTCCCCTCCCTGTCCCACACCCCCACACCCCCGCCTTTTAAATATATAAAGCTATAGGAGCTTAATGTTAGTGTTCCTGTTGAACGCAAGAGCCCTTAGAAACCATTGTCCCACTTTCTCTTTGTTGATTAGATTAGGGAATGTGTTGTTTAGGTTGATCCCTGCAACCTAAACAACCCATTCCCTAGAGAATGGGTTGTAGCCTAGAGATAAACTATGTGTGTAATACCAATCTTCAAAATGATTTATTCTCCATAAGATATGCTTTACTGAAAAAACAGAACATTGGGAGGAATCTGTGTTATCAGTGGGAGACTACTATTTAAATAATTTATGGAGGATATTTACTGTAGAAAAATACGCAGTTAAAAATAATGACATGTCTGGGCTTCCCTGGTGGCGCAGTGATTGAGGGTCCGCCTGCCGATGCAGGGGACACGGGTTCGTGCCCCAGTCCGGGAAGATCCCACATGCCGTGGAGCGGCGGGGCCCGTGAGCCATGGCCGCTGAGCCTGCGCGTCCAGAGCCTGTGCTCCGCAGTGGGAGAGGCCACAACAGTGAGAGGCCTGCGTACCGCAAAAAAAAAAAATAATAATAATGACATGTCAAAAACCCTGCAGAAAATAGGCATAGAGGGAACTTGCCTCAACATAATAAAGGCCATATATGACAAACCCACAGCCAACATCATCCTCAGTGGTGAAAAACTGAAAGCATTTCCACTAAGATCAGGAACAAGACAAGGTTGCCCACTCTCACCACTCTTATTCAACATAGTTTTGGAAGTTTTAGCCACAGCAATCAGAGAAGAAAAGGAAATAAAAGGAATCCAAATCAGAAAAGAAGAAGTAAAGCTGTCACTGTTTGCAGATGACATGATACTATACATAGAGAATCCTAAAGATGCTACCAGAAAACTACTAGAGCTAATCAATGAATTTGGTAAAGTAGCAGGATACAAAATTAATGCACAGAAATCTCTGGCATTCCTATACACTAATGATGAAAAATCTGAAAGTGAAATCAAGAAAACACTCCCTTACCATTGCAACAAAAAGAATAAAATATCTAGGAATAAAGCTACCTAAGGAGACCAAAGACCTGTATGCAGAAAATTATAAGACACTGAGGAAAGGAATTAAAGATGATACAAATAGATGCAGAGATATACCATGTTCTTGGATTGGAAGAATCAACATTGTGAAAATGACTCTACTGCCCAAAGCAATCTACAGATTCAGTGCAATCCCTGTCAAACTACCACTGGTATTTTTCACAGAACTAGAACAAAAAATTTCACAATCTGTATGGATACACAAAAGACCCCGAATAGCCAAAGTAATCTTGAGAACGAAAAACGGAGCTGGAGGAATCAGGCTCCCTGACTTCAGACTAGACTACAAAGCTACAGTAATCAAGACAGTATGGTACTGGCACCAAAACAGAAAGATAGATCAATGGAACAGGATAGAAAGCCCCAGAGATAAATCCACACACATATGGTCACCTTATCTTTGATAAAGGAGGCAGGAATGTACAGTGGAGAAAGGACAGCCTCTTCAATAAGTGGTGCTGGGAAAACTGGACAGGTACATGTAAAAGTATGAGATTAGAACACTCCCTAACACTATACACAAAAATAGGCTCAAAGTGGATTAAAGAACTAAATGTGAGGCCAGAAACTATCAAACTCTTGGAGGAAAACATAGGCAGAACACTCTGACATAAATCACAGCAAGATCTTTTTAGACCCACTTCCTAGAGAAATGGAAATAAAAACAAAAATAAACAAATGAGACCTAATGAAACTTTCAAAGCTTTTGCACAGCAAAGGAAACCATAAACAAGACCAAAAGACAACCCTCAGAATGGGAGAAAATATTTGCAAATGAAGCAACTGACAAAGGGTTAATCTCCAAAATTTATAAGCAGCTCATGCACCTCAATAACAAAAAAACAAACAACCCAATCCAAAAATGGGCAGAAGACCTACATAGACATTTCTCCAAAGAAGATATACAGACTGCCAACAAACACATGAAAGAATGCTCGACATCATTAATCATTAGAGAAATGCAAATCAAAACTACAATGAGATATCATCTCACACCAGTCAGAATGGCCATCCTCAAAAAGTCTAGAAACAATAAATGCTGGAGAGGGTGTGGAGAAAAGGGAACCCTCCTGTACTGTTGATGGGAATGTAAATTGATATAGCCACTATGGAGAACAGTATGGAGGTTCCTTAAAAAACTAAAAATAGAAGTACCATATGACCCAGCAATCCCACTACTGGGCATATACCCTGAGAAAACCGTAATTCAAAAATAGTCATGTACCACCATGTTCACTGCAGCACTATTTACAATAGCCAGGACATGGAAGCAACCTAAGTTTCCATCGACAGATGAATGGATAAAGAAGATATGGCACATATATACAATGGAATATTATTCAGCCATAAAAAGAAACGAAATTGAGCTATTTGTAATGAGATGGATAGACCTAGAGTCTGTCATACAGAGTGAAGTAAGTCATAAAGAGAAAGACAAATACCGTATACTAACACATATATATGGAATTTAAGGGAGAAAAAAAAATGTCTTGAAGAACCTAGGGGTAAGACAGGAATAAAGACACAGACCTACTAGAGAATGGACTTGAGGATGTAGGGAGGGGCAAGGGTAAGCTGTGACAAAGCGAGAGAGTGGCATGGACATATATACACTACCAAACGTAAAATAGATAGCTAGTGGGAAGCAGCCGCATAGCACAGGGAGATCAACTCGGTGCTTTGTGACCACCTAGAGGGGTGGGATAGGGAGTGTGGGAGGGAGGGAGGCGCAAGAGGAAAGAGATTGGGGAACATATGTATATGTATAACTGATTCACTTTGTTATAAAGCAGAAACTAGTACACCATAAAATAAATAAATACATAAATAAATAAATACGTCCACTCATTATGCTGCTAAAAAAATAATAATGACATGTCTGTATGTTATTTTGGAGAGAATCTTTTCAACATACAATGTTAGGTGAAAAAGTAAGATGTAAAGCGGTGTGTGTTATATTTCATTAGGAAGTGTTTTCTTCGTTTTAGAGGAAAAAAAAGCATATCCAAAAAAATGTAAGAACATTTTAGAAAGAATATACAAGCTTTCGCAGTGCAGAATGGGGCCTTTGGGAATGGGACAGAAGGTCTGCTGTGGGAGACTCCTTTTTATTGCATACCCTTTTGCATGGTTTTATTTTGTAATTATGTGCATGTTTTATATATATATATTTTTTTTTTTGGCTGCATTGAGTCTTCATTGCTGCACGTGGACTTTCTCTAGTTGCGGTGAGAGGGGGCTGCTCTTCATTGTGGTGCGCGGGCTTCTCATTGCAGTGGCTTCTCTTGTTGTGGAGCACGTGCTCTAGGTGCACGGGCTTCAGTATTTGCAGTACGTGGGCTCAGTAGTTGCAGCACATGGACTCTAGGGCGCGGGCTCAGTAGTTGTGATTCACGGGCTTAGTTGCTCTACGGCATGTGGGATCTTCCCAGACCACGAAATGAACCTGTGTCCCCTGCATTGGCAGGCGGATTCTTAACCACTGCACCACCAGGGAAGTCCTTTATGATTTTTTTATAGAGAAAAAAACATGTTAAGAATTGAGAGAATCAGTGAGCCAACTTACTGACATTCATTCCTCTTTTCATTTTCCACTCCTGTGCATTGAGTTAACATTTAAACATGAACAAATTCAATCTTTTTTACTTGCTATTCATTCTAATTAGGATGCTTTTGGCTGCAAGAAACAGAAAACCTGATTCAAAGTGATTTGTAAATGAGAAAGGTATTATCTCTTGTAATAAAACTCCAGAAATACAGCAGTTTCTGGGTTGGTTGAATCCGTGGTTCAACAGTGTTACCAAAGTCTCAGGTTGTTTTTTGTCTCTTTGCTTTACACATCTGTTGCATCTTGTTCTCCTCATGGTTGTAAGATGATTTTTACTCAAGCCTAGGTTTCCTTTGGTCTGATTGGGTTACCTTGGCTCATTTGTCTACCTTTGAACCAAAGACCATCCATCCCTAAGGAATGCCATAAGCTGAATGACTTAGACTAATCATTAAAGTGAAAATGTAGGGGAGTCAACCAGTGCATGCCCACTGCATGCTTTCAGCCTAGATCATTGATAAATAGGGTACCTTTCACTAGTGTTTCCTGGTGTTGCCTTTAGCTGATGATGTAGTCATTTAAAAGGGCATATTAAGTGCCTGTCATACAATATGGTCCATTGAATCCCTGTCTAGTTAATGTTGAGTATCTTCCCATGTTCTTTTGTATGATTTATAGCATTTTATCTTTATGTGCTTTTAACCCCATGCTAGGACTATAACTAATAGTGGCAGGGCTTTTGTTTTCTGATGTTGGGTGTTTATGTTTTTTTTTTTTTCTTTGCGGTACGCGGGCCTCTCACCGCTGCGGCCTCTCCCGTTGCGGAGCACAGGCTCCGGATGTGCAGGCCCAGCGGCCACGGCCCACGGGCCCAGCCGCTCCGCGGCATGTGGGACCCTCCCAGACCGGGGCACGAGCCCGCGTCCCCTGCATCGGCAGGCGGACTCCCAACCACTGCGCCACCAGGGAAGCCCGGGTTTTTATGTTTTAACTGATGCTTTTATGAATTGTTTCCTAAAATAATTTATTTTTTAGTGTTTCAGTTCATTAGACTAATCATTTCTCTCTAATTGATGCACTGAAAAATAACTTATTTTCTTTTTCAGAATAAGTTTTACATCGAAACCAAGCTTAACAGAGACTTAAAAGATGACCTTATAAAGCTGTTTACGGAACATGTTGCAGAAAAGCACATTTACAGCCTAATGCGTAAGTAATTAATCTTATGGGGATGACATAATACAAGCAGTGTTTTGGGGGTTTTTTTTTTTTAACCAAAGAGCATTGGCATCTAAACCCCAATGTTGATGTCTTCTGAATCTTATAGTGATCATAAAGCCCAATTCTCTACAGAGAGACACTGGGGAATTGAAAATGTGACTTGAAGATCACCCAGTGAGCTGGGAGCAGCCAGGTCATTGGACAGTGCCTTCGTATCTGGCATGATACTTGCTGCCTTTTTTTTCTCTGACTTTGGGGGAAATATTAAGGAGTTCACCTGTAACTTTGTTACTGGTAATTCTAGAAGGAGTGTAATGTAATTGAAATGGTAGCACAGTATCCTCTCAGTTTCCTTATTTGTACTAAAAAAAAAAGGTAGATGACAGTTAAGCTTGTGAGAAAGTAAACCCTAAATTAAATGAAGCATGTGAGAATTACACATATGTAAAGTACCTGTAGCACCTGTTAAATGCTCAGTAAGTATTTTCTTCCCTCTCTCAAGCTACTTCTCCCTCACATTCCCATTTTCTTTTCCTTAAAAGGCGAGTTCAACTGGAAAATTTTACTTTTAAAGACTTTTCCTACAACGAATTTTAAGTGGAGAGGATTTTAGTGAAATGTTACACCTTCTTAACCTTAACTTTTGTTACTGAATGTGATTATTTTTCAGTTAATTCATCCCAAATTAATTTATGTACATTTTACGTATAACTTAACCTGTGAATTTATCATTTCCTTATAGCTATCAAATTTGACATAGGTGGTTATAGTTATGCAGAAGTTGTTTGCAAGTGTATGTATTTGACCACGTCATGAATGTGTGATTGAACATAAAGAATTAGTGGAAACAACACTTACTGAAAACCAAATGATCGGTCAGAAAGTAGGAGGAAGATGGATTAATAGAGATAGACCCTGGGTTTGGGGTACATGTGGAAATTAGAGAGAACCTTGACTAGAAGAGCCTCTAAGAACCTAAAATTTAGAATTTCAATTTTTAAACATGGCATTTTAAAATATGATTTTTCTGCAATGCCTAGCATTGCAAATGTAATTCACATTGCATGTTTGAAACTACAGAAATCATTGTTGGCCAAGTGAGATGGTGTTTCCATGTTTTAAAAGGTGGGGATAGAAGAAAACAATTTATATAATTTTACAAGCTGGCTTAGATGAAAATTATGCCAAGTTTCATGGGTATTTGGTTAGTAAATTACAGGTCTTTGAGAGAGGAATTAAAAATGAGCCATTTTGGGCTTCCCTGGTGGCGCAGTGGTTGAGAGTCCGCCTGCCGATGCAGGGGACACGGGTTCGTGCCCCGGTCTGGGAAGATCCCACATGCTGTGGAGCGGCTGGGCCCGTGAGCCATGGCTGCTGACCCTGCGCGTCCGGAGCCTGTGCTCTGCAACGGGAGAGGTCACAACAGTGAGAGGCCTGCGTACCGCAAAAAAAAAAAAAAAAAAAAAAAAGCTGTTTTGAGTCAGTAGTATCTGTCATATTCATTAAATGATGGAGTTCGTTTATATATGTTTTGCCTAGAGGAAATTGTATCCATTTAACATATTTTAATAATATTTTTGTGTGACCATAGATAACCTAAAAGAAAACTGACTCTGTTGTCATGTTTAGTCAGGGTCACATGGTTAGACAGTGTGGTCTCTTGCCTTTACCTTTAGTAAGAAAACGTACCTGCAGTTGTAGCATTTGGGAAAGTGAGTTTCTGACTCTGATCTCAGTTACTTGAATTACTAACAACATGTCTTTCAGAAAAATTCCAAGAGCTTCATATGTGGGTGATTTGGGGGAAAGGGAAATGATTGAGGGAGTTAGAGAATAGTTCATTCCCTAAATGTAAATCTTTTGAATTGTGAACTTAATGGGAAGTATTTATAGCTCACTCACTAAGTACCATGAATACTGTTGCTTTTAGAAAGCTTTACTTATTTTCAGAACCTCCATCAATTGAATCATTTCCGTTAGTGTTTCAACAGATACGCACATATCTACTTGTTAGATTGAGCTCTACTGCACTGGATTAAAAAAAAAAATCTTTAGTGTACAAATACTTGGTTTGCCCTCTTGGGCTGTTCTTTTCTTGCCCTTGTTTACCCTTCAGTCTTTAGGAGAAATAGTGATAGAAAGTGAAACCTTGACAATCAATAAAGTGTTGTATCATTTTTATAACCCATTTTCTCTCTATTTCAGCTTTACTTTTAGAAGCCCAGTCAACACCATTTCAGGTCACACCTTCAACTATGGCAAATATTGTGAAAGGCCTGTACACTCTCAGACCAGGTAAACATTCATCCTTTCTTCAGGGGTTGGACTTGTTTGTTTGTTTATGGCACTTCCAGCCCTATCTGCGAGAGGATAGTGTTTCTTTGTGTTTTCTGAGGTCTAATGGTATTTGGATTTGTTATAGCAAAAAAATTGAGTATATACTCATCATTGTGAAATGTAAACTCAGGACCTCACTTGGAAATCTTTCTATACTAGTGAAAACCAACTAGTTTGGGGAATACAAAAATAGTTTGTAGGAGACACTTTAGATAAAGTTGAATCTTATGTCTGGCGTTAATCTCTTTTTTTGTTGTGAGGTTCTTCTTCACTTCTACCCCATGTTGCAAATATGCACGGGCCTATACACATTCACAACTCCATCTTGTTAGGCCTGTTATATAACGTACAAGGAATCTAGAAGTGTTGGTAAAGTTACAGTCATTTCATAAGGGTAGTTTGAGGAGAAAGATAGTCAGAATAGCAGAACCAAAAATCAAAGACCACTGTATTCAAAGGCATGGTTTGTAAATTATCTTAATGTATCTGTCTTATAATAAAAACACTGTGGGACTTCCCTGGTGGTGCAATGGTTGGGAATCCGCCTGCCAGTGCAGGGGACACGGGTTTGAGCCCTGGTCCGGGAAGATTCCACATGCCGCAGAGCAACTGGGCCCTTGTGCCACAACTACTGAGCCTGCGTTCTAGAGCCTGCGAGCCACAACTACTGAGCCCTCATGCCACAACTACTGAAGCCCACGCACCTACAGCCCGTGCTCCGCAACAAGAGAAGCCACTGCAATGAGAAGCCCGCTCACTGCAATGAAGAGTAGCCCCCGCTCGACGCAACTAGAGAAAAGCCCGCACACAGCAGTGAAGACCCAACGCAGCCAAAAATTAAAAAAAAAAAAAACATTGTGAATTTAAAGGACTCTCAAGATGCTTTTGTATGTATCTTTCTGTTTTTAACCCAGAGCCTCAAACTTACCATAGTTGTCTAGCCAATTAAAAAATGTCCATAGGAGAGAGATTGCAGAAGTTCAGGGTAGAAAATCGTTTTTCAGTGTAGAAACTTAAGGTTTGCTTTTTTGACAGCAATTATCTTTTTATGAAATTCTTTTGTCATTTGAGGATTGAATGAAATAAAACATGATCTAAAGAGCTTAACCTAGTACCTGATAATGTAATGAGCATGCTAATATTAACTGTTGTTACTACTATTCAGTTGGGCCCAGTGGTTATTTTATTTTAATTAATTGATGTCTGAATAGTTTACTTACTTAATTTAAAAGATATATCAGAATTTAGCTTGCTAAAATGGAAACCAGTTTAAAACTGATACTAGGGGTAGACTGTGATACCCAGAAGTACCGTCTTTCTCACGCTACTTTGAGCAGTTAGTGACTTCTAGAGTAGTCAAATGTAATGTTACTTAAATTTGGATCAGTTCTTGCTCTATTCTTCATAATTTTTAGACAAATTATTCCTGTAAAGTAATTATTTATATAAAGTAGCAAAAATATTGCATGTGTCCAATAAACCGATATATTTCTTTTTCCAGTTTCTTAGAATTTTGAATTTCATTTTACTAAATGTGATGAAAATAGCTCATGAGTTTTTCTTTTAGTGCTGGGTTATGAATGATTTTTTTCTTTTTCTTTTGGAAGACATCCAAATACAGTATGACAGATTTCTAAATTGTCCCTCCCAAGTGGGCAGCTTTATCAGCTCTGGCTTTTATCATAAGTAACAAAATTGCAGAATAAAACTAGTCATTAAGGGTAGAAAAACTTATAAACGCTTCTTTATCTAAATGCTATTTTTATCCAGGTTTGAGCTCTTATAATAGGTTTCATACTACTTGTGAGGAGAATTCTGTATTTGAGAACTGTTCTTTTGAAAAGGTGAATTTTATCACAGACTAACCTTTTGCTGTCCTAGCTGTTTTCTGAGATACTATTAAACATATTTTGACGTTTACTTGTTTTGTCCATACCCATTGCGTTCCTAGTTTGTTAAAGCAGATTTATTCACCTGACAGATTAAGGTTAAAATATTTTAAAAGTTGAATTTTAAATATAAGTTTCTTTCATTGCAGTAGTTCTTAAGTGCTGATTTTTATATAATGAATGCATCTGAATCACCCAAAAAAGTTTGTTAAACTGTAGATTCCTGGGCCCTAATCCTTGGAGCTTCTGATAACATCTATTATTTAGATGTGTTTCTACCTAGTCTTTAGAAGCTCAGTCTAGGAATAGTTCCCATCATCCCATCCTGCACTTCTTCATTTAATACATACACTTTTCATTGTTTCTTTATCTTTATTTTAATGATTGCCTGGTGTTCCATAAAGTGTCAGACTGGTTTGACTCCTTGCCAACTCTGACTGATGGGTTAGTGGTTCCCCAGGGCACTGAGTTGAGACTCTTTCTAAAGCCATGTTTGAACTGAGCTTGAAGGAGGGACACTATTGAGAACATTTTGACATGAGTTTGTACAAAGGGTGAGTGGATTGGCCTTGGTGGTGTTTGTGGTGTTGGTTTGTTTTTTTTCCCCCCATCTCTAATTTAGCTATTCTTTTGGGCATTTTTTTTTTTTTTAACTTGCCAATGGTCCAGCATTGCATAGGATTAAATGTGTTTTTTTCAGATTTAGAATTATTTACTTAGATTACAGTTTTTAAAATGAGCATGCTGGATTAAATAGAGCATTGACATTTTATGGGTTTTGATATATATATATATATATATACATATATATATATATATATATATATATATATATACAGCCAAGATGTTTTCCAAAAGATAAAACTTGAAAGGGCTCGATTAAAAGAATCCAAAAGGGCATAGAGATGGGCAGTATTTATATTTAGTGTTCACTGAGTAGGGATAGAGCATC